ACTTTTTCACTGGAGGAAGCGTTATTATGGACTTGTGTTTTAGCCCAAAGCAATGGTTTGAAGTTAAAAACGTATGAATTATGGATATGTTTCTTATAAACATGCAGCTTTTGTCTTCTCCAGATGTTAACTGATGGACTGGAGTGCTGTGGATTACTTGAGGATTATTGTGATGTTTTTATCAGCTGTTTGGACTCTCATTCTGACGGCACCCATTCACTGCAGAGCATCCATTGCTGAGACACTGATGCAATGCTGCATTTCTCCAAACCTGATGAAGAAACAAACTCATCCTAATCTGTGATGGCCTGAGGGTGAGTACATTTGCAGCCAGTTTAAATTTTTTGGTGAACTATTCTTTTAAGCTTAATCAACAGCATTTGCGGAATAATTCTGACAGTAAAAAGCAAAAATGGCATTTTCTGTAATGCACTTACAAGTGCATTGGGATAAACATAAAAAACACACAAAGAATGAATTGTGCCCACTGAATGCATAATTTGCACAATAAATTAGCACCTGAATGACAATTTATGCAAATCAGGTAATCAGATGAAAACATGCATGCAAATCAGGTGCAAAAAAAGAGTGTTCAAGGTAATATGCACGTCACATTTTTCCATATTGCAGGCCGGTTTCTGAGTGCTGTTATAATGCATAGCACAAAAGCCCTTTTGTCTTTATTTGCCCAGATTTCAGGTTTGTGTTACTGTATACTTCAACCTTCCAGAGCAGAATGACAGGCACTGACTGTAATAATACTTTAGATTTGATCAGAGAGCCTCTGCTGCAGCCACTCGAGCTAAACACACCTGCTGTTACTGCCGCTCACACACAAAACCAAGAAACTTTAATTGGTTTGTTAATTGATTTTCTTGTCAAGCATTAGTACCATGATGGATGGCTAATTTTCTGGCAGTGCTGGACACACACACACACACACACACACACACACACAGCAGATCTCCAGCAGTCCAGCTTATAATACTGCTCATCCACAGTCAGATGTGGGATTTACTTGATATTCTCATACTTCCTTAAAGGGTTTCCAGTGCCTGATGATTGAAAGATGACATACAGTATAAAGAAAGAGAGGGTTTTTTTTTGGTTTGTTTGTTTGCTTTTTACAGTAGGAAGGGCTTTGGTGGTCAATTGTCTATTAGCAACCAAAATGTGAATGATAGAAGATGCTCTGAAATGCCAGACTTAGCAACATGAAACATAATTTACAGGGTTGCGCACACTTACATTGGCAGACAAGTTTTATCTTTATGTAATATAGTAACGTTGACCCTTTGATGCATTTTATTTGCATGTTTGTCATTAGCAGTGAGTTTGGAATTACAGCCTCTGTACAATTTACATTTTTTTTAAAACATAACACCATTTCTTGCATAATAATATGCCTTTTACATGCATTATAATACCATTCAAAAGTTTGTTTGGAGTCTCTTCTGCTCACCAAGGCTGCATTTATTTGATCAAAAACACAGTAAAAACAGTGAAATTGTGAAATAATATTACAATTTCAAACAGCTGCTTTCTATGTGAATCTCTGTTAAACTGTAATGTATTTCTGTGATGCGCAGCTGTATTTTCAGCATCATTCCTCCAGTCTTCAGTGTCACATGATCTTCAGAAATCAGTATAATATGCTGATCTGCTGCTCAAGAAACATTTCTGATTATTATCAATGTTGAAACAATTTTTTTGCATTTTTTATGATTAATTTAATTTATTGAATAATTAAAAAAAAATAAAACATGTATTTTTACTTATCATCGTCATTATTTTAAGAACAGCATTTATTTGAAATAGAAACCTTCACTTTTGATTAAATTAACGTGTCAATGCTGAATAAAATTATTAATTTATTTTAAAAAAACCTTACTGACCCCAAACCTTTGAATGCTTGTTTATATTACTGATATTACTCATATTAATAATAAATTATATTAATATTTACTCTGTTTTTTACCTTTATTTTACATTCATGTTTTGAAAAAGTATTTAGTGTTGATGATGTTCTTCTGAAGTATGACTCAAAGTGAAGGAGAAAATGGTTCATAAGTTCAGGATTGTCCTGGATCTCCATCTCTGAAGACTGACAGTCTGTTTTGCTGTTCAGTGTCAGAGTCACTTCGTCTTATTACAGAAGATCCCTCAAACCAGAACATACTGAGGCTCTCCGCACGGCTCTCTTTGAATCATCACCCTGATTCAGAACATATTGCCTTTTCAATATTGTTTATGAGAGTGAAAGCCTGTCCAAATCTGACCTGCCAATGAACTCCTACAGGGGGTTAAACTAATGAAAAGCAGAGAAAGTTCATAATGCTTCTCAGCACCTGCAAGACTTGGCCTTCTCATTTCTTTAAGGAAAAGTGATGCATTGTCTTATCCAACATTTAAAGGAATAAATCAGCCAAAATTATCCTTCTGTCATCGTTTACCCTCATGTTCTTCCGAACCCATGGAGGCCAGTTTAAACCCCGAGATACAAAACATAATTGCAACTTTTTAATCTCACATCAAGACTTTTTTCCCCTTGCAATTCTGAGAAAAAGAAGATAAATAGAAGATGTATAGCGAGATATAAAGTCAAAAATGCAACACAAAGTCTGAATTGTGGAATATAAACACTGTAAAAAATTATTGTGATTTTAACAGTAAAGGACTGTAAAAATGCTACAGTAAAAACCTGTTAACTGGTTAACAGTAAGTTTCCATACTATATTCGGTTAATAAATGTTATTACATTTAATGTAATTTTACAGTAATTTCGAGACATAAAGTCAGAATTGAGGCGTAAAGTCAGAATTGTGAGATGTAAGGTCTGAATTACGAAACAAACTCTGAATTGTGAGACGTAAAGGCCGAATTGCGAGACGTTAACTAAGAATCGCAAGACGTAAAGTCAGAATTGTGAGAAAAAAAGTCAGAATTGTGAGATGTAAGGTCTGAATTGCGAAACAAACTCTGAATTGTGAGACGTAAAGGCCGAATTGCGAGACGTTAACTAAGAATCGCAAGACGTAAAGTTTTTCACAGAAGTCACAGAATTGTGAGAAAAAAAGTCAGAATTGTGAGAAAAAAAGTCAGAATTGTGACTTTTTTATATTTTATCCCGTGACGAAAATAAGCTTCAACACAAAACTGTACGACTTTCTTTCTCTTTAGAAAGAACCTGTTAAGAACCTTCTACCTAACATCTCATTTGTGTCAGACTGACAGACTGTTTAATTTTTGGCTGAATTACTCATATAATGCTCTTCCCTCGCTGGTGTTCTTCTGGTCGCTTGTTTAACCTTAAGAAAAATAGCCGGACGTCTCATGTGTTGTTTGTTTGACCTTCATACTGCGGCACAGCTGCGCAGAGGATCCCAGACTACAGTGTATCAGACAGCGCTGATGTTGTTCATCTGTCAGGGATTCTTTCATTGACAGATTGATCAGACGCAGACACAGCAGAGCTCAGGTATGTTGGGATGCAGCATCTGGTCACCCTCAATCACTCGCACGTGTCCTGCAGGACTGACAGGTTTCATTAGCACAGGCCTGGGGACAGTTATTACCCTGATAAAACCAGATCACAGCAGAGGAAATTGAATTCTAGAGGACATCAGTTCTCACGGAGAGCAGCTCGGATGCCAGACGAGAGGCTGGATGAACGTCAAAGATATTTCTGCAATTTGCGATAGAGCAGGACACACTCCAGCGCTGGCGAGCCGAGATAAGGAAACCTGGAACATCCAGAAAAACCGCTGACGCTGACAGTTTGTTTTACCGCTTCCGAGTTAATTGAGCAGCAGGTCGTTGGTTAAAAACACTTTCCAAAGGGAATTCACCAAGACTTAAAGGCACAATATGTAATTTTTCGGCCGCTAGAGGGCGCGTATTCAAAATAAACAGAAACAAAGGCGTAGTTTGATGATGCCGTGACTGAGTGTGAATTCATGGGAGTTGTGGTCTTCATCCCCACAGCCGACGCAATCCGACGGGACTCGGGCAGAAATCATGTTCATGGATGAGCTAATGATTTATTAACGTAGCAGAATGAAGCAGGGTGAGGCTGAAAGCCGTCGAAGTGAAACGAGGCCGCTGAACGAGTGCGACACACGGCTGGAAAGCAGCGGAGCTTTTATTATGCCACAGTCGAGTGCTTCCGCTCCTTCCGGTCGTGCGTATGTGGGGTAAAGCAGCGGAGCTTTTATTATGCCACAGTCGAGTGCTTCCGCTCCTTCCGGTCGTGCGTATGTGGGGTAAAGCAGCGGAGCTTTTATTATGCCACAGTCGAGTGCTTCCGCTCCTTCCGGTCGTGCGTATGTGGGGTAAAGCAGCGGAGCTTTTATTATGCCACAGTCGAGTGCTTCCGCTCCTTCCGGTCGTGCGTATGTGGGGTAAAGCAGCGGAGCTTTTATTATGCCACAGTCGAGTGCTTCCGCTCCTTCCGGTCGTGCGTATGTGGGGTAAAGCAGCGGAGCTTTTATTATGCCACAGTCGAGTGCTTCCGCTCCTTCCGGTCGTGCGTATGTGGGGTAAAGCAGCGGAGCTTTTATTATGCCACAGTCGAGTGCTTCCGCTCCTTCCGGTCGTGCGTATGTGGGGTAAAGCAGCGGAGCTTTTATTATGCCACAGTCGAGTGCTTCCGCTCCTTCCGGTCGTGCGTATGTGGGGTAAAGCAGCGGAGCTTTTATTATGCCACAGTCGAGTGCTTCCGCTCCTTCCGGTCGTGCGTATGTGGGGTAAAGCAGCGCTGTTTTATCATACTAGATACATTTGAAAGTTCTGTTACAATGCTACTCTGTGCGGTCGTCACCGGTCTATTAAAACACACAACATATTAAAGCATCTTTGGTGTTTCCATGTTTTCTACAGAACAAAACCGCAAATCAAGGGGTTATGACGTCATTGGCAGGCGACACTATGACACTATAGACACGCTCTGTGTCGCTAGTTAAAATTGCTTATTTCTCTGGATTTAAACATTTTTTTCTCTGGATTTAACACAAGTCAGCAAAATGTATAACACTGTTCTAGTGGTTTTTGAATACTTATTGTGCCTTTAATCGCTGCTGATCGTGTAGCAGTCGATTTTGCATTATATCGGCACAAAAATGACATGAAACACATTTTAGGACACATTTAGAAAATGTAAATGCAATTTAGAAACTTTGTGTTTTCTCACAAATTTGTGTTCCCCGAGAAACTTTGTGTTATCTTGCAAAACATTTGAAATTAAAATACATAAATATATATTTTTTTGATTTAAATGATTAATTAATTAAAATAAATTAATTTCATTTTAATTTAATTTAGCAAAAACTTATTTCTGATTTCTTTCCAACTAATTTTGGGGGACAAATATAAACCACACATGTTCTTGACAAATTCGGGAGATTCACTTACCAAAAAATTAAAGTTGTGCTCCCCTGAGAAACTTTGCATTCTCTTGCAAAACATTTAAATTACTCAAATTAATGAATGAATTAAAATAAATAAATATATAAAATATAATAAAATACATCAACATGTTCTTGACAAATTTGGGCGATTCACTTACAAAAAAAATTGGTAACACTTTACTTAAAGCCATTATATATAATGCATTATAATAGTATTTTTAATTAATTAATTATGCCTTGTAATGCAAATGATAATGCATTGTATGATCTCATGAATAACGGTAACAGTTATAACTTATCTATTCATTGTTACACCTTTAGAAAGCATAATGCATAAAAACACATGACAAACAAACCTTCAAATGTTATAATGCTTTTTAAATTTGCATTACAATGTACATTATGAATACCTTCATAATGCATTATACACTCTAAAAAATGCTGGGTTAAATACAACCCAGTGCTGGGTAAAATAGGGACAAACCCAGCAGTGGGTTGTATTTAACCCAGCATTTTTTAGAGTGTACACAAAGGCTTTACCACAAAATCTTATGCATTAATTTTGAACGACTGGAAAGGTCGTGAAAAAGTATGGGAACCCCGAAAGCTCTTGCCATTTGTGTGCAACATTCATCAGACGGGTCGTCAACAGACGTCTGAGGTTCAGGGTGACGCTACTTTCCCAGGCTTTAATTCAATTTTCTTCTTCTATTATTATCTTCCTCACTGATGATGAAGAGAGCTGTTTGAAAAGAGCAGCGGTGAGCAGAGAGTCTCACACCACTGCAATTACTACAGCGACATTAGTCCACTGCTAATTAAGATCATGAGCCATTCATCCTCATTTAGACTAAATTTACTGCCAGGAAAATCTGCTAATTACTGCCATTACTCATCTGTTCGGAGGAGTTCAGATCACACATAAAGTGTGCGGCACATATGGAGAGCCCAGCATCACAATCACTGACATTATTATACAGCAATATAACTCACAATGAATCAATCACGTGTGACCGAAAGAATGTTTCTGTTTTGGACCTTGTGTCAGGTTTACCTCATCAGTGTGTGTCCAATTCAGTGTATTTGGTCAGATACGTTCAACCTACATAGACAGAAAGCATTGTGTTAATATTTCATCAAATACATGAAAAATAAAACTGTACTCTTTGAAGTTTGAAGATTTGAGTTTGGAGGTTCAGTGCTTTTGCAATGCAAGAAACTTTGCTTTTGCTCGCAAAACTTGGTGGGAGGAAAAATATATTTCAGCATTTTTGTGCAAAGTTTCTCAGGGGAATGCAAAAAAAATGCAAACTGTTTCGACTAAATCTGTTTGGAATAATTGTGATTTTTTTTCATTCAAATGTTTTTTGAAAGAAGTATCTTACTGCTGACCAACTCTGCATCTATTAGACAAAAATACAGTAAAATTGTGAAATATTATTGCTATTTAAAATAGCTGTTTTATATGTGAATATATTGTAAAGTATAATTTATTCCTGTGATGTAATGCTGAATTTTCAGCATCAGTACTCCACTTTTATTTCTATTTATTTTCTTTTATTTATTTTTTTATTCATTTGTGCATACATTTTCTGATTGAGTATGGAACACTTTTCTGACTGAACTTGCAATCCACATTTAATCAATCCAGACACCAAAGGTGTGATATATATATTGGAAATAGTCACTCAGACTCCTATGTTGTGACTATTTACAACACAATCCAGCCTCGTGTACCTTCTAAAGCCTGAGACGAGGGTGAAATGTCAGCCGTTTCCCGCTGTGACTGTGACTCCCATCAGAGCAGATTTATAACCTCCCGGATCAGATCCGCTGTGAAGAGACAATATGAGACTTTATTAAGACACTGTGATCCATGAGCTCACAGAGAGGACAGCAAAGACAACAACAGACGAGGATCACTCAGCTTTAAAACGAGTCTTGAGACAAACACACACTCACACTCCCAAACCTGTCAAGATCATCTGTGGGTCATTTTCACCCCAAAATAAAATGGAAAGAAATAAGAATTTTTTCTTTTTGCTTAATGAAAATGTAAACACTTCTTTTTAGACATTATTTTCATTAGACATTTGACATTTAAACTTCATTTTCTTAGTTGTACTCCATTTAATTTATGCTAATTTAAATCAAATCACTGTAGTACAACTTTTTTATAAAATAAAATACAAGCAAAATCAAATGGAAAGAAATAAGAATGTTTTTCTTAATGTAAATTAAGCCAATTTAAATATTTATTTTAGACATTATTTTCATGAAAATTAAACACCCTTTGCAAAGAATACAAAATAAAATAAATTAAAATAAAAAAAAAAGGATTCTGGTTACTGAAATAAAAAAAGGTACAGTAAATAGTACAAATAGTACAGTATTTATATATCATTATAATATCTCTTGTAATGCATTTAATTTATGCTGATTTAAATAAAATCATTGTAGTGCAATGTTTTTATAAAATATAATACATGCAAAATCAAATGGATATATATAAATAAATATAAAATATACTAAATAAAATGTAAATAAAAATTGTAAAATGAAATAAAAAATGATTTTGATTACTGAAATGCAAAAAAAGATGATAATTTAAACTGTACAGTATTTATATATCATTATAATATCCGATGTACTACATTTAATTCATGCTGATTTAAATTGAATCATTGCAGTACAACAATATACAACAAAATAGTGTTTTACAATGATGAGATGGAGCAATAAGCTTAAAAAAATCATAATGCACAAAATCTTATTGCTTCCAAAATATAATTTGTTACATTTATTCTAGTGTTATGTTGCTGTGGTTCGCGGGTGCATCATGTTGGATTAAAATGAGTTTTGTCAGACTCTCTGATGGAGATTACCTGTCAATAACGGAATACAGTCTTTGAGGGGGCGGGATGAGCGGGCTGAAGGTGAAAGATGATTGGTTAGACAGGAGCTGTGATTGATGGCTTCAGTAAACGGCTCTGTCGGCACTCAGATGAATATGATGTTGAACCGGGACAGACTGGGTCAGATGAACTTCAGGTTCTGTACTAGATGAATATCTGCAATCCAGATGGGAATGCTAAGAGATAGGCATTATAGTAGATACCCTCCTACAAGCAAAAGGCAAAATCACAAAGGCGAATCAAAATAAATACATTTTTACATATAATTTATATACAGTATATACAACATGATATACCGTCAATCCAAAATGTATTCAGACACCTTCAACGTTTCGCTCATTATCACAGTTTATTCACTATAGTTTATAAAATGGTAATAAAATATGACAAGAACTCAGAGTTAAACTGTGTCAGAACAAATTCAGCTTGATAATGTCAGATAACACTTAAACAAAACATGGTCAGGTCAAAGTGTCTGGATAATTTTTGGTCCCAAATATTTATCAGTTTTACTGGTAGTCCACTGTATGATGAATTGTTGGGTATAATATGTCACAGTTTACTTTATTTTACTATCCTCACTTACATAAATGAACTATAGTGTCCTGCACCCACTAGCAAAAAATAAAAAAAATTATATCTAGTGTCTGAATAATTTTTGGTTTGATTGTATATATACAGTATATATATATATACACACACACACACACACACACACACACACACACGCACACGAGGCTATACAATTATACAATTAATTTCTCATTTAATTTAATGATCTTTTATCAGTGTTTGTCATCTACCACATATACAGTATATACATGTACACGCTGTATATGATGAATGATAAAGCAAGTAAGATTAATTGCAGAGAGGACCATTTAAGTATAAAATAAATAAATAAATAAAACAAAATACTTACATGTTACTCAACAGATTCTCACTAGATGAAAACAGAAAGAAACAAAGAATTAAACCCTCATTATTGAGTCTCTGCAGCTCTCAGGTCGGATCTCATGTTCTTGATCCCGTCTCTTGGCTTTCAAGTATTCAGTTTAAAGCCAGTGTCCTTTCATTTCCTCCAGCCTATTTTAGGAGAAACAATACCAGATACACTGAGCTGTCAATATTCTCCAGAAGACACATTCAAACCTGTCTCCATGTCTGCAGATGACTAACCAGCTCTGTGTTTGACATTATTATTAATTCTCACATAGAAACAGTGTTAACAGCATAAATCTCCCCTGACATTCACTTCAAAGGGAACTTGAGGGTTTACCGACGCCAACAACCTCTCAACCCATCCGCTTCTGTGGAGACAGACTCATTCTCTCAAACAGCATTAACAATACCGGGATGTCCGAAAGAAAGAGCCTGTAATGAAATATCCATCAGCGTATGAGGAAAACGACCATCATCACTCCTGATAGAGTTTGAGTTGTGTTTCTTCCTGGAGTCCGTCTGTCAAAGGTCGTTCATCTCCTTCTGAACGTCTCCTTCCGGTCTCTGGAGACTTTGTTTACTGCTGCCATGGTGGATAACCACCTAACCCTAACGCGTGGTGGATGAGGTCAGAAGGTCACAGTGACATCTTCAACTTAATCTCCAATGGCTCCTGCTGGTCATAATGAAGGCTCTTCAAACTCTTGTTTATGGAACTCTTTATATATATAAATATATATATATAGCACATTCTGGCCGTGTAATTTTACCGTGTTAAGACAATGAATTTGAACGTGTCCCTCAGTGCACATTCTGGCCGTGTTTGAATGTGTAATATTTTTAAAGCATTATTATTATTATATTTAATGAATATTATATATATATATATATATATATATATATATATATATGATAACTTTTTTATCATTTATATCATGAGGTCAGTATAAGTACTATTGGCAACACCGCAGTAAAAATCCAGGGCATTTTAACAACACCACTGCAATGGGCTAGCTAGTAACTGCCTAGCAACACCATAGCAACCACTTGGCAGCATTCTAGCAAGGCCCTAGCAACCACATAGCAACATACTAAAAACCATTCCACAAATCTTAACAACTACATGGTAGCCTCATAGCAACAAACCTAAACATGTAAAACTAGTTTAATTGAGAATTGAGTGTTCTCTGCTGTATCTGTTTCTGATGTTTATTTATTATGCATGAGCTCAGAAATGCAACAGATATGAAAACCTGACATTACTCATGTTTGCTGTTGTAATATCTGCGTATGATCACGAGCAGTTATGAACACATGCTCGAGTCGTGATTGGATGTGATTAACTCTGCTTTGATCAGCTACAGTCTCGCTCTTCCTTCCTTCACATCCGCTGCAGTTCAGCGGGAGAGATTTGCTCTCTTTGATTTCTCTGGGATCAGGGTGAGATGTTGGTGTTGAAAAGCTTTTAGCAGCCCGTCTCCCTGAAGAACACAGAGCTCATCATGGACCCGCGGCTGACAGACGGGCCGCGTGTGAAGAGTGTGAGATCTCCTGTCTCAGGAGCTGAAGACTTCGAGACGAGCGACTGACAGACACACCGCCAAAGAGAAAAAACAATCACAATCAGTCCTGTTCTACAGTTAAACATCAAAACATTTGCAAGAGAAGCAAAATAGTGCCTGATAATAAATAATTTTTCATGCTCTATTGGCAAACTTCATTTTTTTCGTTTCATCAGTTTCTCCAGATTTTGAGAAATGTAGCATTGCATCAGTGTCTCAGCAATGGATGCTCTGCAGTGAATGGGTGCCGTCAGAATGAGAGTCCAAACAGCTGATAAAAACATCACAATAATCCACAGCACTCCAGTCCATCAGTTAACATCTGGAGAAGACAAAAGCTGAAACACATCCATCATCAATATTAACAATTATGAAATTAAACAATTATTACAACAACACGCTAATGACAGTAAATCCAGAGCTTCAGTCTGTATCACTGACTTGCTGTATGTGAATCTCCAGCAATTACAGATTAAGCCTCATTCAGTCCCTCGGTGACCAATAAACCTGATCGGTTTGTATTTGCACTCAAATAAAATCAGTCTCCAGAGGCGTGTGGCTGCCGTTTTCTCCGTTGCCAGTGTTGTGGAAAGTTATTTTTAAAAGTAATGCATTATAATATTGCGTTATTCCCTAAAAAGTAACTAATTACGTTACTTAGTTACTTTTTATGGAAAGTAATGCATTACATTACTTTTGCGTTACTTTCATGTTACTTTTTAAATATGAGCAGGGGTAGATTGTTTTTAATATAAGAAGTTCTATTTATAGCAAATGTAAAAGCCCTTTCACACCAAAAAGTGTAATGAATAATCCTCAGGCTGAAGGAAAAGTAAATTCACGTCTGTACAGCAGAACGCAGGAGAAGAAACACTCTTCAGCAATAAAAAAAACAATGAAGCACAAATGATAGTTTATCTAAAGTAATTTTTGCTCATTAGTATGGTTGAACTGGATCATCAAAGGTTTTTGAGGTCTGCGTCATATTCTGAGTTTGCATTTCAGTTTTAATTCTAATGGATACTAAATCTGTTTTTTGCGAGTGGGATGAATTAATGCACATTCACATTTAGTCTAGAACTACAGTAACATCATGTTCACACAGTGCACACAACGTCTCTGCACTTCCGATTTCTCCCAGTATGGGGACATGAGACTTGGCAGTGAATAAATGGGAAAACAAAGTAACTCAGATATTTTCTTGTAAATTAAAAAAGTAATGCGTTACTTTACTAGTTACTTGAAAAAAGTAATATGATTACGTAACTCACGTTACTTGTAATGCTTTACCCCCAACACTGAGGATTCATTAAGCTGTGTGTTTGAGGAGACGCAGACCTTTGCTGAAAGGTGTACGAGCTCCTTTATTAAGCTACGCTGAACAAAATTATAAACGCAACACTTTTGTTTTTGCCCCCATTTTTCATGAGCTGAACTCAAAGATCTAAGACTATTTCTATGTACACAAAAGGCCTGTTTCTCTCAAATATTGTTCACAAATCTGTCTAAATCTGTGTTAGTGAGCACTTCTCCTTTGCCGAGATAATCCATCCACCTCACAGGTGTGGCATATCAAGATGCTGATTAGACAGCATGATTATTGCACAGGTGTGCCTTAGGCTGGCCACAATAAAAGGCCACTCAGTTTTACTGTATTGGGGGGTCCGGGGGGGTCCGAAAACCAGTCAGTATCTGGTGTGACCACCATTTGCCTCACGCAGTGCAACACATCTCCTTCGCATAGAGTTGATCAGGTTGTTGATTGTGGCCTGTGGAATGTTGGTCCACTCCTCTTCAATGGCTGTGCGAAAGTGCTGGATATTGGCAGGAACTGGAACATGCTGTCATATATGCCAATCCAGAGCATCCCAAACATGCTCAATGGGTGACATGAAAATGGGGGCAAAAACAAAAGTGTTGCGTTTATAATTTTGTTCAGTGTATTTTCTGTGTTTGTGCAGTTCTGATTAGCAGGAGCTCTATTTTGCACTAATTAACAGGAACCATGCAAGATCACTGTAGCTTGTTCAGGAAAAGCAACGTAGACCTAACAATTTAGGCATACATTTCCAGAACAGAGAGTGCGTGATGAAACAGACTTTCAGCATGCAAAATATTAGAAAGGCATGCTTGATTCTGATTTTGTAAATGAATTTGAAATGTTTTAGATTTTCAGTCATGCTAATTAATCACTGTCAACCTTTGATTTTGGAGATTAAATATCTAATATTAGAATTACACCAATGGATTTACAATATAATTTTAAATGAATCTAAAATTTGTTAAGTTTTACTTTAATTTTTTCAAATAAATATTTTGCAATATTTTATATATTTTAGTTAAATAGAATAAAAAAAAAATTGACATGAGATACTATCATAGTATCGAATCAGAACAAATGTTTTAGACAGACACAAACTAACAAACAAAACAACACAAAACTTTACAGAATTTATCAAATCCATTGATTGCCCTCCAAAATGATGTCACTTCCTGGAGGATGGTGTCATTAAGCGATTGGCTTTTGTTAGTTAAAAGGAT